AAGCTTCTTAAGTCGCCAGGATGGCTGCTTTTTCAGCGGGGGCGATTGTGAAGAAGATGTGCCGGCAGCAAGCAGCATCGCCAACGCCCGGCTCTCTCGGCTCGTGCTTTGGTTCGTTGCTGTGCCGATTGCTGGACGGTTTTTCACGCTGTCTCGTCGCTGTCTTTAACGGCTAATAAGCCTCTTCACATAATATTATTAATAATAATATTCTAACACCAATCAACTTCATCCTGTGCATGCTGCTGCCACACTATTCCTGCAAGCTTCTTAAACCTTTCTGTATGGAATTTTTGGACCACGAATAACAATTTTTATGTTTCCTATATTATTCTGCGTGTCTTGAAACATTTATAAAGCTATATAAAGGCACCTTACTGGCAAGGTACAAGCAAAGTATTTTTTTTGCCCTATCCTTCGCAGTCTTCGGTGAAAAAAATGTCGTCAATTCAAGCATTTATGTCATACAAGGCAGTCCATAAATTCAAGAAAAAAACACAGGCATGCCATTGAAAGCTAGGTTCACATTGATCAGTGTCCCTCTGGCAATGCGTTGAGACATAGTCATTATCCAAATCCTATGATTCTGAAAAGTATGCAGCACTGTGAGGTTGTCGCACCTGCAGGAGAACTGAAATACAATATACACGCGATAATTCAAGCTCTAATAATTGATACTTTCATTATTTCCAACAAAATTGTGAGGTTGTCGCACCTGCAGGAGAACTGAAATACAATATACACGCGATAATTCAAGCTCTAATAATTGATACTTTCATTATTTCCAACAAAATTCAATTTTTTGGTTGTGCCTCTATTCTTTCGATGTCCTTAAAAGCCTCTTTATTCAAACTCCATCATTCGGTTAACTCATACTTTTTGTGGTTTAGTACCAGAAAATATCTACTGCTTTCCCACTACTATTTAAAAACTTCCACACCTATATAATCTTAGAAGTCTAAAGATGAAAAATAAGCACCTTAGGCCTTCAAAGAAAAAGGCTTTGCTAGTGAACAAATGTAATGTTTGAAACGCAGCACACACAAGGCGAACCGTGATGCTTCTCAACTGGTATAGAGAGCTTTGTGCTCAAGGCACACAGAGCAAAAAAGCAGTTGGCAATTGGTAATTTCTTTATATGGTCTGATCAGCAGTAAATAGCTGATAAACTAGAAGCTCTTACACCTCTCCTTTTTGTTTACTGCATGCTGTTAGGGATTAAAGACGCTCTAAAAATGTTTAAATCAATGCCTAATCATAAAGCAAGTAGAGTGTCACCTCACCCACAGTTATATATCTCAGAACTTCTGATAATTCAAACAAAATTCAGAGGCCCCTTCGAGTTTGAATTAATGAGAGTCAACTGTAGTACATCTACATGGCTTCAGCAAACAACTGTGTTCTTAAAAGCTCTTTTGCTCTGAGCAGACCTGCTGCTGGCATGCACGTGCTGCTCGTGCTGAGAAGACACCATCTTCTAACATTGGTTAATCCTTTCTCGATCAAAATGCATGCTTTGAGCACATTTTAAAGTTTTTTTACAGCATGGTCTGTTCAACTCAAAGAGAACTCATCAAAATGAATCAGTGTAGCTTGATTGTGGTGCCCCCAAATGCTTCTTTCAGTGAGGATGAGCCCAACTTGTCTACGGAAGACAAAAGAATTTCTCTCATCTGCCAACCCAACTTTTAGCCTCACCATTGCACATTTGCCTCACCTTTGAGTCCAATCTGTTCACAAAGAGCATAAAAGGCAAAAAGATAACAAACTAGAAAAGCAACATACCTTAGCTAAGGTTGTCCTTGAAATTACATACTAGTGCAATGAAATTATGCTTTCGGTTAATAATGACACCATAAAGATGATGTCCACACAGTCACTTTACGAGGGTCCAGAACAGATGCACACGATACATCTTCAAAACAAAAATAAGTACCACAAAGAATAGCAATAACAAAAAGGGTGGGCTTCATTCTAAGACAATGACAGCAGCCCCAAGAGTGATGTTGACCTGATAAAAGTCATGGAACAGAAAGATGCTTTTGACAAGGTTTCTTAGGTGAGCTAGCTGGATCATGTGTAATAGAACACAATGAGCTGAATTCTTATGAGACCGTGAAAAGCAAGTCCAGCAGATAGAGCAGTAAATTCAACAACCTCAGCTCACCTTGTAACGATACTTCCTTAGTTGGTCGCCAATCTTGGAGGTTCCAATCTACCGCACGGTACATAACATCAATGTCTTCGTTGCCACCACTGTTGTACTGAGCGCCATGTTTTCTACCCCCCTTCATTCTACATGTCTTTCTTTGTCCTTTTTGTTTGTGTTTAGGTCATCATGAAACTGCGCATCTTGTAAACTTTTGTTCAAATTGATAGTAATGCCGGCCAGCCGAGCCACTCGATAGCATATTTTTCAATTTTCGTTCCCCTGACTATCTGCCCATTCCATAAAAAGAAACAGTGCCGTGCCGTGTGAGTTCTTTGTCCTATTCTCTGCTGTTATTCTACTACAGTAGACTCTGTTAAATAAATAGAACAAGTAATCCTGACGAGGTCAGTGTAATTCTTGCACTCCTGGTCAGTAAACGAAACATATTTTACTGGTCCCTCCAGGTTCCATTTAATGAGTCTACTGTAATTCTGCAGAAATGTGCTGCTTGCTCGCAGTTCTCAAAACGCAATGACTAACAAATGAAGAGACGACTCCAGAGCTTGCTTATGTGAGCTAGCAGCCCAACGTAGCGAAAAATTAAAGCCAGCCAAGACAAGGGTGCCTATGGGTTAGATGGTATTCTGGAGGTTACAGGGAAATCTCTCGGCTGAGCTGGCACTAGGCAGGCCTCACATACTCAAGGCACTACAGTAGAATCTCGATGATATGATTACGGTTGATGCGAATTTCGCGACAATAGAATTTTAAAATTGCTTTGGATATATTACATTATGTAAAATACGCCGTGATTCGATGCTATACGAAAGGTTTCTCCAGCAACCGCAGCTGATCTGAATGCGCGACTGACCGCTGCACGTGAGCGGTGCAACGCGGCTTGTCTGTGGGAAGAAGGCCCGTTCACACTTGGCCTCTAAGGGAGCGAATGCGGCAAAAGCCACTGGAATTTCCCTCGCTTCGCCGCCAGAATTGTGGTCGGAAAACGATGCCTCAAGGCCGACTCGAAAAAATTGGTCTGAGACCAATTTTGCTGCCACGCGATAGCAGATCGCCTTTCTGTGATGGGTTTGGCTACACCGGCTGCACCACCTAATGATAGTATGTGTGTAGATGTTCTGTGGCTAGCTCTCATACCACATGATGTAAACAACTAGCTGTACAGGTCGGTTAACTGTTAGAGGGAACATGCAAGTGCGTTGCCTACACTCTGCGGGTGGCTAAATACAACACCATCAACTGACCATTGAAGAAAACAGGTTCGCTTTTGGCATCATCTATTGCCAAACACAATAACGATCGAGTCATGATTGGTAGGCAAGCGCTGCTAGATTACGCTCCCTCTCCGCTCGCCCGAAGGACAATGCCTGCACTGCATCGTAAGCTGTCTGCAGCACGGCGCAAGCTGCAGGCATTGCCCAACACCACTAGTTGCACAGCGGTAAAGGAGCATAATATAGCAGCGCTTGTCAACCAACCATGAAGCATTATCTTGGCTGGCAATATATGATGCCGAAAGTGAACGTGTTTTCCTTCACTGTTGGCTGATGGTGCTGCAGGCAGCCGCCGCAGAGCGCAGGCTACACGTTCGCGTGTTCCCTCTAACAGTGGACCGACCTGTACATTTGAGATGGCAGCCAAGGCATCGGCGGGTGCAGACTTGGCCGCCATCTTGACTGTACAGGTCACAAACTACTCATGCAGCACGACAAAGCTCATGGCCTTCAAAAAGACGCGTTCATCGAGAACCTAGTTTGGATGAACACTGAAAGTGGGAGGTGCAGCAGCAGCGAATCAGCATGCCCCACCAAGTCTTTCTTTTGCCCTGCCAGCTGAATCTGTCGCTGCCGGTGCATCTGCTCGTGTCGTTTCTTCTGACATATCTTCCAAAAGAATGTTTGTAAAGGTGTAAACTGATTCTTTTCAGTGCTTTGCATGCATAACTAGAACTCGTTGGAGATTTTAATGCTCAGGAATAAATTCTCATGCGGCGAAGATGGCCGCGGTGGCATTTATACGAGGGGCAGTATCGATGTGAACATTTTTCATGGTTGCAGACGTGGTTTTGCGACTGCTCTGGCGTTTTTGCTTGAATTCTTAAATGTGAATACTTTTGGAAATATTTTTTTTGCGTAGATTTCACGGCACATTTTTCCAGCCGTTTAAGCAGTGAAGCGAGTTGATGTTCAATAAGTTTTGCCGCTTTCGCTCCCTTTGATGCCAAGTGTGAACGTGCCTTATAGCGCCAGCAGCATGAGTGAGGAAACCGCGGCACTTTATTGAGAGGCAATGAAAGCAGGAAAGTTCAAAAGAACATCCTGGACTCTTTTCAGCAAGAAGTAGTGGACCCCCAATGAAGTTCTTGTTTATCTTCGTGATCAGCTTTTAACTTTTTTTTTTTTTTGGATCATACGAATTCGAGATGATAGGAATACTTTGAATGCTCCCTCGGAATTTATATCATCGAGATTCTACTCGACTAGGATTTGAGCGCTACGTAACAATTATCACATTTACTCGAATGTAACAAGAGTTTCCTTCCAAATTTTGCTACTTGAAGTGGACCTTTGAGTTCCTATCAGATACCGAAATTCAAAGTGTCTGAAGAGAGCAATGATGTGCATAATTCTTTTATTATTATTTTTTTGCTTTCTAGACACAACAAAATGCCAAACGAATCATGGCAATCATGGCAATCGAGCAACTATAGTAATGGGCTTCTCATTCCCTCATTCCTAGAGTGCTTGGGACCCTGCACACATGTCATTCCTCAAAGAATATTAATGTTAATAGCTACTGAAACACAGCATGTCAGTGAGTGCACACTCACAGCATGGATCATCTCAAAGAGCAGCTGCTCCTGGTCCGGTTTGCTGTCGATGTCCTCCAGCTCAAAGTGGATAGCCTGCCGAGTCCTCTCCACCTGCACCACGTGTAGGGCACACAGACATCGCAGTCTTCACCTGTCCCACTTGCAAGGCCCATCACCAACGGGAAGCATTTTGTGCCCCCTTGGAGGGATAAACTTCCCCTGGGGGACACAGCTCAGTGTGCCACAAAAAAAAAAAATCAGCCGCTGTCAAGCAGAAGCGTTAGCAAGCACAATGACTGTTCTTTTTCAAATCAACATCACATCGGGATTTTAGAAGTTTTTTAAGGACCTCTGGAGCTGTGATTATTCAGGCCCCATGGACATAATGGGTAGTACAAAGATTTGTCTAGTCTACATGCTTGTGGACTTTAAATGCACATGTGGCTTTGTTTATTATTGTGTTTTGGTTATGTTTCGAATAAAAGAATGGACTGCTGTGAAACCAATTTCAATCGGTGAGCTAAAAAGTCAAGGTGGTGAAGCATAACTGCTAAACCTTTGCTGAACTTTGTCGTGCAACAAAGCAGCTCCAAGCCATGCGAGGCCAAGCAGAGCCTAAAGAATGAAACCCATGAACTACCCATCATTCCCATACGGGCTGATGTGCCGGGTGTTGCAACTTCCATAGAAACTAGCGCCAGAGTTCCCTCTATGCTCTGAAAGAACTTGCTCCTTGGTGAGCTGGTGCTCGAGTTTGCTGATCATGTTACTTCTGGCCTACTACTAAAGACATAAAAAAGGACAGGGGAAAGTGACAGAGGAGTGAAAGTTTTGTTGAGGTCTGCTCCACTATTCCTATGTATTCACTTTCACACAATACGTTACTTTTTCTGACATGCGACCACCACTTTGGTGACAGTCGGCTTATTTGTACTCAATAAGCAGAACACCCAATTCATTATTAACTTCCAAGCTGGTGGTTGCTTTTCTAACTTTTGAGGGTGACATGGCTGTTGAAACACCATTCACAGACACAAACGAGCACAGTCACTCGCTCATTAGTTGTGGCTTGTGGTGTGCCGATCTCTGCATGGCTCAATTCAAATGCACAGTATGTGCAGCGCAACAACAATTTTGTAATCAAAATGCATTAAAATCACTTTGATGTGAGCTACCGACCCTGCTTTATGCTTGCTGCTGGCTTGTAATCATATTTCTAATGAAAAGAAAAAAAAACCAGATGCACTACGAATATGAATACAAGTCAACATAGAAATCTTGCAGTCAGTTTTTGCATTGCAATATTTCGATGCTGTTTTCTAAAGCTACCGCCACGTACAACATACAGAACAATGCTTTCAAATAAAAAAACTGCATAACCGATAACCACAATAAGGTTTTGTTGCATAAACCTTGACTGCACTTGAAATAAACTTTGCGAAAAAAAGACTTGGCTGCAGTAAGAACCACTGGTTGAGTTTGTTAGACGAGTCACCTTTCTGCTGCCTTCTTTTCTGCGATTCCAAGTTCATGTACCCATAGCAGTGAGAACCACAGGGCACATTACGTGCCCTGCAAAGAAGGTGTTTCTATCCTATCGCGTGGTAAACATTACGTAGGGCAAACTGAGCATTTTAATGATAGGATCAGGGTACATAATGTCAGGAAAGGCAGCAACAGCTGATTGGTCACACAAAATTGTTTTGCTGATGGCAGGCATCCTAGACGATATTACTGTGTTATTCATGGAATCAGCAACTCTAAGTAGGTTTGGTAAAGATTGTGTTCGTACCCCATTGAAAAAATTCCCACATATCCATGCATTAAATACTCATGAAGAAGCTTCCTCCAGAGATCAAATCCGGTAAACCGTGAATCCTCAATCATCATCATATCATCATCACGTGACACGAGAGTTGTTGCGGTGCGATTGTATATACACGTTATATACACAATATTATTACTTACATACCAATGTACTATACACAGATATTTACATATTAACGTAGTATATATATTTTGTTTAAGAGCTTATTTACAGATTGCATGAGCTAAAAGGAACGTTTTCCTTTTATTATAATGGCTTTGTGTTCAGTAAAGTACAAAGCCAAAGTATTTTGAATTATAAAATGCAGTGGAAAGCTAGAGAAGGGCCCTGACGAAGAGCCCTCCGCGCCGCCACCATGGCCTCTGCGGTGTTCATAGTGGGTAGCGGTATTGATGCATACCGAGTGATGTCCGCTGAAACAGAGAGGAAACGCACCGAGAGCAAGCGCTATATATAGGCGCGGCAACCTAGCAGTCTTCTATCAAACTAGAGCGCGCGCCGAGAGTCGAGAGTAGAGGGAGCGTCGCATGAATGGAGGCAGCATTGCCATCTAACGAGCACTCTAGAAACAAAGAGAAAAGCTGTGCCTCTAGCAGGAGGAATGAGCACTAGCATACACATGAGCGCAACGAAGAGAGACAACCCTCCAGCAAAAGGACCAAGCTCCTAAAGAAACTAGTTTTTTGCGTTAGCAATTATATGGACACTTTGAATCGTGAGTGCAAGGCGTTAATCACTGTGCCACCGAGGAGCATGTGTTTCAACGTTCAAACGGCAAGCTATTTACATCTACCACTTACCGCTGCTGACGGGCATTTCGGGGGAATTATGTTTTCAGCATTACAAAGCAAGATGACGCAATGAGCGCACGTCCCCACATCGTGCGTCGGTGCACGCTCTAATTTCCCACGCGTACTTTGCCCAGCTTATAGGAGAGGAGCGACGCTCCCTCGCCTGCCCTTATCTCTCGTTGGGGGTAGGGGAGGATCGTAGGTACATATTGCCTGGCCTCTGGCTTTACCTGGAACAATTCTGTTGTAGCTACCGGGCGCGCAAAGGTTACTGAAATCATTGCAGTTTCTGTTTGCAAAAAACACGCACTTTTTAGACACAGCGAAGTAACAATTGAGACACTTATTCGCCTGCATTTGTACCTGTGAGCATGTTTCGTGCGTCATTTGTGCGTGAGAAACGCGGGGCATGTTTCGATATACTTTCCATTTTGTGCGTGACCTTCCAATTTGTTGCTATCACGTTGTTGCTATTTGCTGCTATCACGAGGGAGCTTACAATGAGAAGGATTTAGCAGCTATCAAGAAGAACTTCTGCCCAGTTAAGATGGGAGCGACTCGCATCAAGTCCAAGTTCGCTGGTTTCCACAAAAAAAGTGGGCTTGCAGTGTTAGCCAAGGACATAAAGAACAGCAAAGGGAGCAACCTCAACGTTTTTTTCTTGGCCAAGACACACAAAGCGGATGTACCCTTTCGCACTATATTTAGTGAAGGATGATCATGGCAGATTAACGTTAGCAGATTTCTTCAAAGCAAGCTAAAGAACCTTGTGGTGAATGGACCCTTTCCGTACAAAGGGCTGAAGTGATGTGTGCGACTTTTTGGGGTCTCGTGATTGTACAGGCAACACATTTTCAGTGGATGTCGTAGATCATTATTGTTCCGTGCCGCATGACAAGCTTCTAGCCTCTGTAAAATCCTACATTGGGCAGGGAATCTGCATTGGTTCCTGTGTCTCGCCAGTTCTTTCGATATATTTTTAGTGGATGTAGATGGGGATGCTTTTAAAGGGGGGGGGGAGGTTTTTAAAGTTTTTTAGGTATGTTGACGCTTTTTTTATTCTTTTAGATAAGGAGGGAGTCCATACATCCCCTGATGTTATTTTAAGTGTTTTCATAAGACTAGGACAAGGGATTTCCTTCATTGTTGAATCATCGCAAAATGCTTGTCTGCAGCTTTTATACTTGAGCCTCACGTGGAACGATGAGCACTTTTGCTGGTTTTATCATCCTTGTGTGAAGAAGGAGCTGTTGCCGTACGATTCTGCTTACTCAAAGATTGTGAAGAAAGGCATTGCATCTCTTTGCTTGGAGTCTGCGCGGAGGAGGTCGTGACCACACAGCATCAAAGATAGTTTCCCTAATCAGGTGGGCTGATTAGAGGCTGCTGGCTTCCCTCGACCGGTCATTACGATTGTTGCTGAATCACTTTAGCAGAAGTTTGAACGTGGAACACGGGAAGCGATGACAGCTTGAGGACTAGGCCACAAGTTGTGCTCATATATCCATAAGTTCTCACACAGCCTCCAGAAAGTCGCGGCCAGGCCCGGCATACCAATGGTGTTTTCTGCACCCTAAAAATCGAAAAACTGTGCCAACGTGTGGGAAGTAGCAAAAAGCGTAGCTGTGAGAAGAAGCATGAGAGGGCCTTTGTTAAGTGATGCACGGGAGTCGTGTACTCCATACCCTTATCCTGCGAATAAGTGACCACTGGACAAACCGAATGATGTATTAAAGACTAGTTAAGGGAACATGCTCAAAAATTAACAAAACAAGATGACAAGTATGCACACCTGGTCGCGCATGCCATCTCGTGTCGTCGTGATGCTCGATTCTCCGAGATGAAGATTCTTGGCAGATGCGCAACTAAAACTGCACGTGAAGAGTTCAAGGTCTTTTTCATTGAAAAACATAAAAATTACTGTGTAAGCGCCCCTTTGCTATCATTGTTACCAAGCGAATTCCAGTTTATCGGGTTTAGGCTCTGAAATTGATTAACAGTATGCAGTGATAACGTATGCCGTTGGCCTTCTATGGTGTAAGTGTGCACGTGTCCTATGTATATATTGTTGAAAAACGGCCTCCGAAATCCCGCCGCTGACCTCCACTGTTGCGAAGGCGGACCGATCCCGCCGAAGCCACCACTGTTGCGAAAGACGGCGACGCCAACACGGCCCCGGAGGCGCCACTGCTTTCAACTCCGCCGGGAAGGTCACCAGCCGTTTGGTAGCGTATGTTTATCAGCTCGCGACTGCTTCTGCGCAGAGCTGATAAGACGAGCGGACGAGACGACGGTGAGTTAAACAAGGTTTATGTACAGCATATTTACAGAGGCGTTACAATTTCGGCACTGGGGCCGACAGAGACTCGAAGAGCCGAGCTCTTCTCTAACACATAGGTCAGCCTTTCGCCTAAGACCGCTGACTCACACACATGTCGGCTCTCCGACACGGGGACGCCTCTCTCGTAGGACTGCCGATCGCGACGCGCCGC